TTTTTACAGGATGCCTTTGTGATTTGCCATTCTTGTGACTGCAGGGAGCCTGTGGATGCAATTCATCCATGACTTGATACAAACAAACAATTAATGTTTGGTTACGACTGCATTTAGACTTGAGTCCCGGAATGGATGTGGGCTATCTATCGGTCAGAAGAGGACATGGGAAATGGTTCAGAGCTAATTTGCCTTCTGGAAGAAAACCCCAGGAGTTTCCTTCTCATTGATAAGTCAGAATCAGAGGTCCCATCCAGGAGATGTCACCTCTTAACTGCTGTCCTGTGAAAGGCAAGGCATGTGCCTCCAGGGGCACTTGCCAGCTGATTTGGTGAACTGTTCATTCTCTTGGTAGCAAAGGCCCCTTTTGAAATAACCCAAGCCTCCATGTCCCCCAGACCCCTGATGCTAAGATGCACACTTGGAGGACTGGGCGACCTCTGGCCAGTGCTTTTACATGCTTCTTACTGGGAGGGAACACCTTAACGCCATCCTTTGTAGAACTCACAGGGCGTGCACTGCTCCAGATCTGCTCATCTGGGGTGTCACGTGCTATGGCAGCATCTTTGCCTGTTTGCTGTGGTAGCATCCAAAGCATGGCTTCTGAGTCTCTCCTGGCTGAAGTATACAGTGTGTGTTGACAGGCCCAGGGAAGAAAAGGACAAAGGAAGAAAGAACTGGGGAGACTAAGAGAAGGGACACTTGACACTTGGCACTGAGCTGCCTGCATTCAGCCCTCACCATCTAGCCCTGTATTTTAAGGGCTGGCATTCCTTTCGATGGCGGGAAGGTAGAAACAGGACGAACGTTTCAGACAAATTAAGCAAATCTGAAGGAGTTGCTGGTAGACTGGGGCCCAGACAACAGTGCAGGAGAGGAAATGTTTTAAAAGTACCTAATACGAGGGGAAAGAGGCTGAGTAAGAAGAGAGAAAATGCACACAGCATACAGTGTGTGTGTGTGTGTGTGTGTGTGTGTGTGTGGAGAGAGAGACTATGTGTATGTGTGTAAAAGATTACTGCAGCACCTCAGTTGCCATCCTTAGTAATCTATCACTAAGAACAGCTATGTGCCAGGTGAGTTTCCATGGGACAAACCTAAAAACAAGACAAGCAAGCCACAGTAGCAATTGCTGTTGAGGGACAGGCCAACCAGGAAGGATGCCAGTGACTTAGAGTGACTGATGGTTACACCCTGGGATAGTTGAGGTCCCCGGAGAGGAACGTGAGCCTGAACTAGAACCATGAGTGGGATTTGTGAAGACGCTTGCTACAAACCATAGCAGGAAGCAGGCAGCCTAGTCGAGCTGTGAGCAGTGCACCACTGCCGCTCGCTTTACCCAGGCCCTTCTACTTGTGTCACATAGGAAATGATCCCGCCATCCCTCACAAGCCCAGCTAAGCAGTGGAGCGATCAGCCGCTCGAGATCTCATAGGACCACAGGAGCGCCTACCACGCTGGGTGTCAGTGTAGGGAAGTATAAAATATAACCCTTGCCTCCGAGGACAAAAATGACATCCCTATCAACGTCCAGTGAGTTTTCAGGCCGGCTCTGCAGCAGTGAAGACTCACTACTGATAAAAGGGAGTGAGTTCTGGGCAGCAGACATGTCTTAAGGATCACCAGATCTGATGTTTATCAAGACTCTACATTTGGAATGGACCAAAAGGCCTTTTTCGGCAAATCAGCAGTTTCTTCAGAACTGGTTCCCAGGGAGTGTCTAACAGTCTTCCCAGTATATTCCTTCATCAGCTTGGAAGCATTATCTGTCTACAGCCAATCACCAGCTCAGAATCAGAAATCAAAGTAATTGTAGACCATATCTTAATACCACCCAAAGTGGGCTGCCAAGTAACACCCCATCCAAGGTATCCATCTCAGAGAAAGACTGCGGAAACAAGTGAAACCAGGATAAACTGAAAACAAAAGCAACATAATCTGTGTGCACGACCTCTAACCAGTCAAGGAGAAATCTGAAAATCTGTTTGGCTGGAGGGAAATTCCATCCCGGCTCTTAACACACCGGTTAGAGGTGAGGGGAAAGCAGGAGCTGAGACAAACGGAAACACAACCTTGTTTCAGCTCCTGCAGTCCCATGACAATGTGGCTTCAGCCACGAAGGACCCAAGTCGTATGGGCAGACGGGCTCCCTGTGTGACAGAACTGACGGGTGTCTGTCTGCCACACTGAGTGGTTAACTAGGGCAGCTGGGGAGCCGAGACCGCAGACTTGCATTTCCTAAGGTGACAGTGTCAGCATTCTCTGTGGCACATTTGGCCATCAGCCTCCTCCACAAGAGAAAGCCAAATGGATGAGAAGAAGCTCTTTGGAGCCGAGGTTCTGGGCTCTGAACTATAGTTAGAAAAACTTATCTTCAATACAAAAACAGACGGGTGGTGGTGGCACACACCTCTAATCCCAGTACTTGGGAGGCAGAGGCTGGCAGATCTCAAGTTCGAGTTCAGCCTGGTCTACAGAGTGAGTTCCAGGACAGCAGGGCTACATAGAGAAACCTTGTCTCCAAAAATGATGGGGGAAGAGTCTTCTGTTTTGTGTTAATTTCATTGGTTAAATAGACTGCGTTGGCCCTTTAATAGGACAGAAAATTAGGTAGGCGGAGTAAACAGAACAGAATGCTGGGAAAAAGAAGCCGAGTCAGGCAATTGCCATGATTCTCCCACCCACAGAAGCAGGTTAAGATCTTCCCTGGTAAGCCACACCTCATGGGGCTACACAGATTATTAGAAATGGGTTAAAGCAAGATGAAAGAACCAGCCAATAAGAGGCTATAGATAACGGGCCAGGCAGTGTTTAAAAGAATAGTTTCTGTGTAATTATTTCGGGTAAAGCTAGCCGGGTGGCGGGAAGCAACCCGCCAATTCCTACTACACAAAAACAAAAACATCCAAGGATGTTGTATAGCACTTAACATTTCAGTCAAGGAAGGACGCCCATGGCATCAGTCCCAAGGACTGTACTACCTTGCATTGTCATGGCTGTCTAGGTTTGTTTAAGCATGCTCTGTGACGACATTCGAGTGACAACAGACTGACGAAGCACGTCTCGGGGCCACTTTGTTCAGACATGTTTCTGTCTTTGAAGGAGTCACATGCTCTAGGATTCTAACAGAGGGCTCGTTTCTACAATAGCTGAAGCATATTCTCTGCCACAGGCTGACTCCAGAGAAGCAACATCATCAAAACCCCCCACTTACAGGTCTTTCTCTGTCTGAGGCAATCTAGTGCATAAGTCCAACAAGAGTTCCATGAAGCTTGGTTATTCTCACGACGACCTTTGGTCTCAGATGTTAACAAAGATGCTCACCCTTACTGACCAAGCAATGTGGAGCTCAACCCTCCTATTAATGAGAAACCCATTTCCTCAAACACCCAGCTAGGAAGTGAAGCAGAAGCACAGTTCCCCCTGCATGGGCACTCACGTGGCAAGAGGGCAAGGAGCTGACTGAGGAGCCCATGGGAAAGTGTCTCAGAGGAAACCACCACATATGGAGTCGGATCGTTGGGAAACAGGATAATCCGTCCTCACGGCACTCATTTAAAGAACTGTGCAATAACTTGCCAAGCAACTGACTAATGTTTTAACACACAGGGTTGCTAAAGACGTTAGAGAAATATCTGGATCTAGGAGAATCTGCCAACACTCTGAAAGAAGAGCAATTTTTGTCATCTTAAATGTTAAGATACACTTTCAAATATTAAGGATATATGTGTGCTGGAGGAAGAGTGTCTAGCAAGTCGGCAGAATCAGCCAAGGGAAAACAGATCAACTGACTGGCAGGTTGTGGCCATCCGGACCCTCTCTATAGGCTTTCTATCCCCTCTCTTGGACAGATGTATTGTATAACTCCCGTCACTCCGGCTCGAACTGACCCTAGAGACGGTACCTGTCCTTGGATACCTCCAAAGGGTCTAACCACTTTCATGATTCCCCCTTCACTACCTCCACCAGCAAGGGCATTCTGGACACTGTTTTCCCGAGATCCTGTCATGGAACAGCTTTATGCCTGGCTCGGCGATGCTCTGGGAAAGCATCTTTTAAAGAGCACTGCAGTAGACCTGGCGATCAGGAGGCTGGGCTACGTCCTCGGCCATCTTTTTCTAGACAGAGCACTATTGCTCCTTCCCCTTTCTTATTTTTTTCATTCAATAAGTATTTATTCCAAACCCACCATGTGTCAGAGTCAGCAGTAGGTGCTATCTGAGTATGGTGGACAAGAGAAAGTCTCTCTCAAAGCAGACATTTAAACAGAGGAGACAATTTTACAGGACAGTTACAGCCAGCAGAAAACAAACAGGGTAAGGAATTTCAGCTAGGATAGGACAGGGGAAGGAAGAGCCCACTTCAGATACTTAAGGAGACACCACCAAAGCTGCCGGCTTGGTGGGGATCCGAGAGACAACAGGTCCTAAGGAAATGCCCTCCAGGCCAAGGGGACAGCCAATGGTCTGCTCCACACCTTGTGTCAGAGCTGTGCGGCACAGGGACTTGTGTGCTCCACCCATCTTGCTCTTCAGACACCAGGACCACGGGACCTTGACTCTAACACTCACACCCTCCACTCCAGCTTTCTTTACAAAAGAGAAAGAAAGCATGGTTAAAAAAGAAAAAGAAAGAATGCTTAAAAAGTATGTAGGGCAGGGACAAGCAGGAGAACATCTAGTTCGACTCCTTATTTAGAATGCCTAAACTAAGACTTCCCACCTCCTCGGCACTCAAGGTAGAACCTCAGCCTCACACTCACTGCTTTTGCCCACATCGTCCCTAGGACAAGGTGCTTCTTGGTCACATAGTGTCTAGCCACCACAATCTGATTTCTAGACAGCCATTGCCCTTCCAGGGGCAGACCCTTACCAGGACCTTCAGTTGTTTACGAGTCAAGTGTCCCTCACATTCTGAAACTATGGTAATAAAACTGTTTTCTCCATTCTTGGCTCTTGCAGACCATGCAACTGAATTAAAAATGTTCAATTATGAAAAAATCTCATAAATAATGTATTTGTGTATATTAAAAACGAGACACATCCAAAAGTCACAATTCCTCATTTACAGACTCCATAACAAAATATGCATCTTAAAAATTCAGTACTCCAAAACACTTTTTTACAATAGTTTCCATCGAAGAAGAAAATAGAAGGAATCACAATTACACGTAAAGCTTCAGCAGTAATCTGGGGAGAATGTAAGAACTCATGGTGTTCTTCAGGTATTTTTCCTTCCACACTGGAGAAGGGACCAAGAATGTACAGAGCTACAGAGTCCCCAAGCACAGGGCCTCCTCTGGAATGCTCTTTCCCTCAGTGAAGACATGGCTTTCTGCAGGCGGCATCAGGTATCAAACCATTTGCTTCTCTTCATCAGGGGTGCCCCTTTAGAAGGACCCAACAATTTCTGCTTATACTGTTCAACCAGTTGGTTGAAGTGGGATTCTGCCTTACTTTCCTTAGCCTTTTTCTTCGGCACCTGTGAAAGAAAGAAGACATAAAACAATCATTTTTTTTCCTTTTCCTTGACTTTATCTCTCCTCCTTCCGTGCCACCACCAAGCCTAGTCAACATCAAACACTAAATATCACCTTCTTGCCAAGACACCCCAAACAGAAACTAAGTAGGTACACAAGGAAGATGATTTCCAGAGAGAACCTTAGTTTGGACATCTTTGCTCCTGCCCTGACAAGAATTTTGTTTATGAAATTTCAAAGTTAGATCTTTACAGTATAATAAGATACAGTCAGAGATGTCCCAGAGACAGACTTGAATAGGGCAGATGCTAGTGACTCCACTCTTAAAGGGAAGGGAGATAAAAGTTTGACCTTGAATGTGCAAGAACCCAGGACCAGAGCTGGAGAGACGACTTGGGGGTTAGAGGCAGGCTGCTCCTCCAGTGTGGACCTGGGCTCTATTTCCAGTTCACACACTGTACCATGAAACCACCTCAACTCCAGACCTAGGGGTTCAATGCCCTCTTCTGCTCTTTATGGGCACCACCCATGTCTGTAGTACAGACACATGCATGTGGGCAGGAGACCCATACATATAAAAGGGTACAGGACCATTATCTTCTATTAAAAAGAACTAGAGTGGGCTGGAGAGATGGCTCAGTGGTTAAGAGCATGTACTGCTTTTCTAGAGGATCTGAGTTCAATTCCCAGCAGCCACATCAGGCAGCTGGGAACTGCCTGTAACTCAGCCTGGAGGGAACCTGACACTGTTGGCCTACACAAGCACCTGTACACACTTACACACATATACACAGATTTAAAAAATAAAATAAAAAAGAACTAGAGCTCCTTGGGAAAATGGCTATTGCCAGAAACTGGGAAAGAAACATCATGTACAAGAAAGTAACACTACCAAAGACAAAGTAATTTCAGAAGGATGGGGAGCTGATCCAAAGATGCTTCTGCTGTTTTAGACAGGACAAGAAGAATGACTGTATTTGACTGAAACACAGGGAGTTATATAAAAATTTGGGATTTCATATATATCAGTCTCCCAGGCCACAGAGCAGGTTGATAATAGTTTATTACTCTGAAACTGATACAGCAAGAAAAGGAAAAGGGAAAAAATCAGTCATCTAACCTGTCTTTCATAGATGTAAGACTCTCCTTTCTAGAATCCTTAGAACTCTATTTTTAAGCACAAAAGGGCTGTCTGAACTGGAAAGTCAGCATTCTGTAACCCATAAAGAAATATCAGACAATCCACTGCTTTTGAAAACCAAAGGTAAGCAGCTAGGGATATTGCTCAGTAGCAGAGCACTTCCTAAGCATGAAAAGGCCTTGGGTTAGATCCCTAGCACTACAAATCTTAAAAACTAAAAAACAGTTGAAAAGCTGGTAGATTTTCTACATAGAATACAGTGGAGAATTCCGACACCTACTGACTGATCCTGGCATTACTAACAGTGAACAACCAAAACGCAGCACTGAACAGGCACCACCTAGGAAGTGCTCTTTCCAGGAAAACTACATCTGCTACACCTCTGGACTGTACACCAGCTGACAGCCAACGCACGGTGCCATGGGAACAAGTTACATGACAAATGACCAACGTGGAAAGGAATGTGCTAAGACAGAACAGACAGCACGGATGAAGGGGGGAGGAGGAAAGAGGGATGCAAACGTAATGTGTGAACTAGTAACCAGCATTCTAACTGTACTAACAAAATAAAAACCATTTTTGAGGCAATGAGGAAAATATTAATTTGGGCTATATATTAGAGTATAAAGAGCTTCTGATTAATCTCAGTAGATATGATAATGACATTGTGTGTTTGTGTGAAGACTGGGCCATTAGAGATGCAGTCTGAAGTTCTGAGCAATCTGTCTCTTGAGACCTATTTACATGCAAAAGCAGGATTTGCTTCCACACACTATAGTGGGGGAAAGAGTATAGGAAACACGAGATAGCTGCTCAAGCAGCTGAAACAAGTCACAGGGCTTACTTCCCTCTCCACTTTTACTGCTGCACCTTGAAGAGCTGCAGCCCTGCATGGAGAAGCCTTACCATCTACCCAACTATCCAGAAAGTTCACCATCTGCTCAGCCCCACAGAACCAAAGCACCCAGACCATATGCCCCACCAAACTCACTTGCAGGGAAGAAAGTAACTGCTGCTTCTTCTGCTTCCGGTGGCCTGTCTGGGGCTTTGGCTTCTTAGGAGGAAGGGATTTCACTTTGCCTTTGTCCCGCAACCTGAAATAAGACAGCCAGGTTAAATTCTTTCTCTGGTTAATATCTTTAGTGTCTGTCTGTCTGTCTCTCTCTCTTTCTCTCTCTCTCTCTCTCTCTTTCTCATTTATTGACTAAATTTAGTTTATTTTATGTGCATTGATGTTTTGCCATGGGTGTCAGGTCCCCCAGAACTAGAGCTTCAGACAGTTGTGAGCTGTCACATGGGAAACGGGAACTGAACCTAGGATCTTCTGGAACAGCAGTCAGTGCTCTTAACCACTGGGCCATCTCTCCAGGCCCATCCTTGGGATCTCTTAAAGAGCTTGAAAGCCAAATTCCTTCTCTATAAAACTGTTTATTTTTGTTGTTGTTGTTGTTGTTTGTTTTTTTCAAGACAGATTTCTCTGTGTAGCCCTGGCTGTCCTGGAACTAGCTCTATAGACCAGATGGCCTCGAACTCACCCGCTTCTGCTTCCCGAGTGCTGGGATTAAAGGCGTGTGCCACCACCGCCCAGTTTACATAGCTGTTTCTAAGCCTAGTAGTCACTCTTAAATGGAGGCCACAATAGCATATCCTAAGTCACAACAGTTAGATATTCGTTTGTCTCTGCATTTATTTATTTTTGCTAAGACTTCAACGGAAATCATAAAACCCTTCAATTACCAAGATTTTCTTTTAAAGATACACAGCACTAATCCACTGTCCAGCACTAAATGTACACAGCACTAATCCACTGTCCAGCACTAATCCACTGTCCAGCACTAATGTACACAGCACTAATCCACTGTCCAGCACTAATGTACACAGCACTAATGTACACAGCACTAATGTACACAGCACTAATCCACTGCACAGCACTAATGTACACAGCACTAATCCACTGTCCAGCACTAATGTACACAGCACTAATCCACTGCACAGCACTAATATACACAGCACTAATGTACACAGCACTAATGTACACAGCACTAATCCACTGCACAGCACTAATATACACAGCACTAATGTACACAGCACTAATCCACTGCACAGCACTAATATACCCAGCACTAATGTACACAGCACTAATCCACTGCACAGCACTAATATACACAGCACTAATGTACACAGCACTAATGTACACAGCACTAATCCACTGCACAGCACTAATATACACAGCACTAATGTACACAGCACTAATCCACTACACAGCACTAATATACACAGCACTAATGTACACAGCACTAATCCACTGCACAGCACTAATATACACAGCACTAATGTACACAGCACTAATCCACTGCACAGCACTAATATACACAGCACTAATGTACACAGCACTAATCCACTGTCCCAAACAGCGACAACAGGTAAACCTCAACGGACATGAAAAGGCTTTGAAAGACAAGAATGGCATACAGTCAGTCTGCCCTGACGGTTCCTCCGAGGTTCCCTCCACCATCTGATCCACGGTAACATTTTCCTGCTGGTGTTGAGACCTTCCTGTTAACTTCCCATGGGGGACTAATGCAGCACCAACACTCGCTCTGTCAACGCTACAAAGAAAGAGCTACCTCAAAACAAATGCATTTAGACGTACCCTCTCCTGTATGACTCCCCTTATCTTACCTAATTTTGGGGCCTCGGTGTGAAGGGAGCGCCAGGACCTTTCTTCTCTTCTTCCCATCAGGCAGCTCCACCTGCTCCACTTCAGCCTTGGTCTGGAACCCTGTCCACGATGTGGGGTGGCCCTTCCCTTTCTGCTCTCCAGAAGCCTGACTTTGATCCTGTGTAGGGCTCGCTGCTTTTTGTTGCTTGTCTTTTCCAAGTTCTTTTTGCCCCTTTTGGGGCTTACTGGTTACATTAAGCTTAGATTCCATTTTTTGCTGCAGAAAACAAGAAATTGTCACCTGGTTTCTGGATAAGGTTTACCTGCTGAAAATCTCAGCGGAGATTGAGCCTCCTTGTAAGTTTGATGAAAGAGGAGCGCTTCCCTCACACAACTGGAGACTCCAGCAAAGTAAATACAAGCAGTTTACAGGCACTGCCTAGGAATAGATGGCTACTAGGCTGGATACATGTGTGTGCAGGCGCACGCGCACACACACACACACACACACACACACACACATACACACACCAAAAAAAACCAAAAACACCCAGAAACAGCGATCAGTAGCCCAAAATTCAAAAACCAGTAAGAAGGAACAACTATTATAGGTGAAACTTGGGCCAGGCATGACAACACACACCTAGAATCCTAGTCACTGGGAAGGAAGAAAGGATCAGAATTATTTAAGACCCTTTTTCAAAAAACTCCTGCTCCCCTTCCTAAGTGTCACAGACAAAAAAGGTGAATGCCAGCAGCAGAAACAAAGCAATTAAGAAATGCTTAACATAATACAGCTAGGAAATTCAAGACAGTGAAAGACATGAGTCAGAGATCTTAGAGCAGAGCAAAACCTGACAAAATAATCAGCCCAAGCTCCACAACTAGATTTCCAGTACAGTGCAGTAAACCATGAGGTGGCTGAAGTTTTAAAAGACAATGTTATCAGCCCAGAATTCTCTAACCAATGAAATTATCTTCCACAAAAGTAAGAAACTTTCTCAGACTTTAAAACACACATACACAGTTACCACTGCTTCACAAGAAATGCTAAACAAATTCTTCCAGAGAAGGGAAACGGCACAGATTGAAAACATGGGTCAGCATGAAGGGAAAAGCGTCAGGGAAGGGGTCAGTGAGGGAAGGCAGGCAAAGGGAGACCAGAGCTTCAGATGCAAGCAGAAGGATGCTGAAGGTTTACTAGCACTGACGCAGGGAAAAAGACTCAAGTAAAATTCATGTGAAAATACATATTTGTTATTTTGCCCTAATTTAATCTAAACAGAATGTCGATACAACATTTACTAAATGCCGACTATGCACTAGTCTGTTCGTAAGTGGTTAGATACAGTTACAAACAATAAAATGTTTACTTTTAGGACTCCTAGCCTAGTGGAAAGAAAAGACAGGTGATGTAATGAAAATGTCCCTCACAGACTCATGTGTTTGAATGCTTGGTCCCTAGTTGGTGGTGCAGTTTGATGTTGTAGAATATTATTTTAACTAGGCAAAGATGTGTTACATTTGATTATGCTACATTTGTTTAATTATTTAAAGATGTGTTGTATTTGTTCCACCTTGCCTGTCTAAGGCACCTGACTGGTCTAATAAAGAGCTACACAGGAGAAAGGATAGGCAGGGCTGGCAGGCAGAGAGAATAGGAGGAAAACACCTGAAGCAGTGAAAGTAAGATATACAGACGAAGGAAGCTAATAAGCCCCAAGGCAAAAGGTAGATAAGAAGAGACAGGTTAATCTAAAAGAGCTAGCCACAAATATGCCTAAGCTAGGCTGAGCATTCAAAACTACTAAGTCTGTGTGTGTGATCTGCAAGCTGGTTGGTAGCCTAAAAGGAAAAGCATGCTACAGTTTGGGGAGGGTCAAGAGGTAGCGCTTGAAGGAAGTGCATCAGTTTGAGAGTCGACAGCTCTGCCTGGTTCCACTTTGCTCTCTCTGCTCTGAGCTCTCAGCATCCTCCTCTGTGGCCATGCCTGTTGCTGCTATGCCTCTCTGCCATGATGGGCTCTTACCCTTTGGAAGCCTGAGCCCAAATAAACTTCCTTTCCTAATCTGCTTTTGTTTGCAACGTCTTATTACAGCAACAGAATGCTGAAACAAGACACATACCTAAACAAAACAACATAAAAAACAATCAAGATAATCAAGGAAGTTGATGAAAGCCTATGTAACGGGGAAGGTTCAGTTGCTATCAATGGGCAAAGTAAGAAATATCCCTGAGTCAAGAAAAAGGATCACTTTTATAATGGAAGTGCAGTATGAACATAAAGAGAGGCAACAAAGAATTCAAAGAAAATGTGCAGGCAGCTTCAGAAGCACCCCTGAAGCAATGGCTAAAGGCAGTTGACCTGGGGTTAAAAAGTTACATCGCAAAAGAATAAGACCCCAGACTCTCAATTAAAGCCACAGTTTAGCCACTGCTGTCATTTATCTGTCATGCTCTCAGTCTACATCAAACACTATGGATGCTCTCTGCACATGCAAATTGTAGTGCAGTGCTGAGGAGCACTGTAAGAACTGAGGGAAGCTGGGGGAGAGAGCATCCTTAGAGGAAGAATGAAGACCTTGTGATTAAACCCACTGTACAAACTGAAGTCAGAGAAGAAGTAACTGGCCAGAGAACGTGTAGCTAAGAAAGAAGCAGAGACACAGTGCCTGTTCTTCCTCTTTCCACACGAATTAAAATGGTCTAAAACCACCAGTGTCATGCTGAGACTAGAAGACTGAGTTCAAGGCAACTTGGAGGACAAAGAGGGACCCTATCTCAGATGATGACGATTCTGAAACATAACCTGAGCCACTATGTTTGACACGGCCCCTACACACCACACAGGAACTCATGATGGATCAAAACATTGGTTTCTGTTTCTTCCCTTTCCCTTCTCCTATGCAGCTCTCGGGAAAGGGAGAGCAAAGAAGAAAACACCAGGGAATCTTAGGAAACGGAGTAAAATCCTACTTGGCAGAAGCACAAATTAAAAAAGGGAAATTTATTTAAGTTCCTTTAAAAAAAGAAAAGAAAAAAATGCTGGACATGCTAGCATACACCTTTAATCCCAGTAGCCAAGGCAGAGGCATCTCTGTGAGTTCAGGTTAGTCAGAACTACACAGTGAGAATCTGTCATAATCAACCAAAGCCAAACAAAGGCCAGCAAGATGTCTCAGCAAGTAAAGGCACTTGCCACCAAGTTCAATCCCCAGAACACACATGGTAGAAAGAGAGAACCAACTTTCCCAAGTTGTCTTCTGACCTCCAGAAGTAATGGCACAGACACACAGGCACATGCATGTGTGCACTGACACACACACATAGGACAAAACCAAACCCAGTCAAGCATTTAGGTTCAGTATTAGGTTCAGTACCAGGCTGCGTTGGATCCTCAGCTCCTTTACTTTAAGCTTCCTCCGATCTTCTAATGAGAACTCCACTATTGGTCTCTGTGAGGGAGACAGAATGTCATTCATAAGACTTTGTAATCTGTCGCGTCCAATAAGCCTAGCTGTCCCTTCCATCCACTCCTCTTCGTGAACAGAGGCTGTTTCTTGTGTCTTCTTTAACAGCAGTTGGTTCTGCAGGCAGGCCATCCAATCCACATACTTTACAAGCATCTTCTTGCCTAGGGTTACCATCTGTCTTCCCCACCTTTTGGTACTTTCTCACCCAGTCCATTTGGTACTCTTTCCCATCATTAAATATCAGGAACACTAGATAGTTAAGCTCTCAGAAAATGGGGTCTCCCTGAAGGATGAGGCTCACCTTCTGAGACCCAAATATTTCTGGGTTGTTGTTGATGTGGCGGAGGGCTCTGAGGGCATGCTCATGCTTTTGGAATTCTGCAAAGGCATAGCCCAGGGACTGCCCCTTCATTTTTCCATGAACTGGTTTAAGGTCCCGCATCACTCTACACTGTGAGTAGAAAAAGAAAAAATAAAACAGTAGTTAAAAATAAGAAATAAAAATCTCCAGAGAAAAATTTCTTTGTTTTTAAAATACTGCATATGTGTGTGGCCATGTATACCCATGTGTACCTAAATGCAGTACCCATGGAGTTCAAAAGAATGTGATGCACTCCCTGGAACTGGACTTGGAAGCAGTTGTGAGCTGCCAGATTGACTGTTGGGAAGCAAAATCAGGTCCTCTGCAATACGTGTCATAACCACTAAGCCATCTCTCCAACACCCTGAGGAAAATTTGTAACAGCTAACTGTTCAGAACACATATAAATGAAAGATACATGATTCTCTAGAATGTCAGCAAGTTATTGCTGAGAATGGAGAACCGTCCAAAGATTCTAGCACTGAAGAAAGTCTCCATAAAGGAAATTAATAGAGCAGGGAGGAAAGAAGACCAGATGGTTTTAGATGAGAAAGACATATCCAACACGGGAAAGGCCATCCCTGTACCTTCAATAAGCCTCAGAACACAGCAAGTGTCGGCTCTCTTGGGTTGGGGTCAGAACTCTATCATACACGTTTTTCTCTAAAGCACTAGACAGGATACAGTAAGCATCCCAGGGTCATGAGGAACAGAGAAGAGCATTGAGAAAATTCACCATTTACACAGTATTTCTCCCCAGAGCTGCCATTCTTTTGTAGTGGAGGAGTGTGAAACACACATTCATACTGCGCCCTACTCTGTGTGTAGACACTACTCTTTCCACCGCAGAGGAGGAAGAGAAGAGTAAATTCCTTACTTCAAGATGCTCAATGACTTAAAATGTCATTCAAGACATTTTATAAAAAGAGACACAGTGCTTATACAAATAAAAGAATTAAGAACGAAATTCAACATAATGCTGTTGTGAGGCATGGCTTCTGGAAGACATGAACAAATATCTACTCACCCAACATAGGGAACCAAAGAGAAACAGGAAGGACTCACAGAAAGCTGCAGCACCAAAAGTCCCCCTTTCCCGGAAAAAAGCTCACAAGCTGGACGCCTGTAGTACACTGTACTCCTGCACGCAGCTCAACAGGTTAGAGTATCTTTCCCAGGTAGCCTCTTCCAGGCAGCTCATCAGGTCTCTGCCTCTACCAAGTAGCCTGGCTGGTCTGAGCCTCTTCTAGGCACATCAGCCTGCTCGAGAGCATCTCTCAGCAGCTCTTACTTCTTATATATGTTTGAGGAGCGTGTATCTGGTCAATTTCAGGGACTTCTTGAGCCTTTGAACTGTTTACTTCCTAAGCTTACCAACCAACCTTCTCTCTAAAATCAAGGTTTTATCTCGGAGGAAATGGTCACACAACCAATGCACATATGGTACAGACGTGCACGAAACTGCAATGGGCTCACAATAGGCGCACATGAAGTATTGCAGGTACTCGTTACTAACAGTGCAGTCAGACACGTTCTGAACACCCTCTCATGTTATTTCCTCAATACCAAGGAGTATATTTTAAAGAGGCTTCGGGTATTAGGCACACAGTTTAGTTATGAATCAGCAAAGCACACCTAAAATATTGGCAATGGCATTTTTTAAATATAAAGATTAATAGACTACTCTATGCCATGTGCTACATCCAGGATTGGGGATAATGAGGTATTTACCCTCAAAGAGTTCAGTCTGTCTGGAGAAACAACCAAGTTTCAGGTCAGTATAAAGGGAAGGAGCTTCAAAAGAAACAGAGCTGAACTAAGTACTAGTGTGAACCCTGAGTTTCCTAATAAACTGAAGACATGCATGGTTCTCTGTGCTTACTGCGGAGTATTAAGAGTCTCACACAGTTAAATGCTTGCTATGTAAGCATGAGAACTGATACAGACGTCTAGAACCCGTGCATGTAAAAGCCAGGCATGACACTGTGTCTGTAACCTCAGCGTTCCTATGGTGGGATAGGAAGACAGTAGGATGCTGTGGGAACAGCAAGCATGGGTGCAGTAAAGAGGAGAGCCCACCTCAGACAAGGTGGAGGGTGAGGTCCGACAGAGACAAGGCTGTCCTCTAACAGCTACATGGACAGGCATGCCCTGGCCCTGGCTCTCGTGTTCTCTTCCCCCTCTCTTCTCCCCTCTTCTATTCTCTTCCCTCTTCTCCTCTTCTTCTCCTTCCCCTCCTCTCCCCTCCTCTCTCACATACGTGCATGCACGCATACATGCACAACATTCTTTTAGGAGACAAACCACATAAATTGTATTCTTTGCAACAAAATTCACATTACAACACCTATATAATGCTGAGAACACAGCAGGCATTGAATAAATGATTGCTAAATCAATTCATGACAGAGATTTCCTCACATTTTGCTGCAATTCCGTCAGGCAGTTCCCAAAAGAAAAAATAAAAATAAGAAAACAGCCTAACTCAACTTTGCATGCTGATGTATCCAAAAGAAAATCTGTTGGCAGGCTGGCACCATGGCCTGAAATGATGGCTCATGACTGCAGCTGCGCACGGCAAGGCATCTCTCACCTCCTTGATGCGCACGCCCTTCTCGCCTCTAGTGGCACTCAGCAGCAGCTTCCTCAGCTGGTTGTCATCCACGGCCTTTGGCAGATTGTGCAGGCAAAGTCTGGTCTGGGAGACAAAGATATTCTGGTTCTTGAGTTTCTGATGTTTCAGTAGCTCAAACTGGGAGAGGAGAAAAAGACACATTCTTAACATACAATACACCCATGAGGCAAGCTCTAATTCTCTGAAAGAAAAGAATCATAACCCCACCCACAGGTGCACCAGCTGCCTTAATGCCCAGAAAGGCAGGCTCAGGGAGGCAAGTCAGAGATGAACCAAATGTCATCCAACTAGAGAAATCAAATTATTTAACTCTCAACACTGACGTGAAACCAAATAAAATTTAAAAACTGCATAGCTCAAAATGTGGTCCAGCACAAGTATTCTTTATTTTAAAAAGTTTATTTTATTTTTATTGGTTTTATAAGATAAGGTTTCTCTGTACAGGCTGTCCTGAAACTCACTCTGTAGACCAAGCTGGCCTTGAGCTCGGAGATCTGCTGGGATTAAATGTGGCTTAGCACGAGGATTCTTGTCAGTAATACTGAAGTTAGCATCTATGCTCAATCCTTACCCACCCAACAACTAAGTCTAAGAACTTCCTTCCTAAAGAAAATAAACTTACTTTTTATAATGCACATAAATAACTTAGCAAGCTTTGGGTAGCAAAGTTAATCCTAAAATTCAGTACATCTTATTGCACTACTTCCCCAAACATGGTAACACTGAGAACACTACTATAAAGCCATGCTGGAAAGACATTATTTCTACCTCTCAGTAACGTATTTGCTGCTCACCATCTCCTGAACCTTACGGTCCCAGAGCTGCTCTGTATCTTTACCATTCTAAGCTGGCTTCTGATCCTTTAATTTGTAATTTTATTATTAGGTGTGCGTCTATGTGTGATTGTGTACACACTTGTGCATGAAGTGGGCTCAAAGCACAACTTCAGAGGGATCAACTCGGGTCACCAGGCTGTTTAGTGGCACTTTACCCACTGAGCCACCCCAATGGCTCTAGGCTGCCTTAAAAGGTGAGCTGCATGAGCTGGCTATAGCATAGCTGGTTAAGTGTCTGCACTGCACACAAAGCTTCTGAAGTTCAATCCTCAGCACACGTAAACTGGGAACAATGGAGCCTGCCTAAAAGCCCAGTACTCAGGAGGTGAAGAGGCAGGAGGATCAGGAATTCAGAAGTACTTGGTACCCAATAAGGTCAGTCCAAGCTATGGGAGACCATCTCGGAACAAAAGCAAGTTCCTATATGTACAAAAAGGAACGACTGCTGAGGGCATTACTAAGCAGCCAAGGAGTCAACAGCAGAAAACCTATACTATCAAGTTGTTCTACAGTAACTGTATAATTTGGGGATACTAAGCCCTCCCAAATGACATTGTGGCTACTCTTTCCAAAACCCACATGTCCTCCCTTTCCTAGTAAGCCCAGCCCACAGAGCTTCCTTTCTACATTTATGCTAACAATTACATACAGCCCCTCCTTCTCCACATCCTGCATTGTCCGGCAGCATGTCACTCACCACACATGAATACTAGAGAAATGAAGAAAAGGACTAAGTTTTTGCAATGGAGCAGAATGCTCATACAAAATTAGGAGTGATGTCCAGTTACTTCTTCACCTGTGTGCTTCTAACAAGGTAAAATGTGGTCTTTACACACAGCTCATTATGAGCAAAAGCAGCAGCAATCGTTGTTTCTGATTCATTTACAGAATGAGAGAAGCGTAAGGCTGGTGCCTAATCTACCCACCCGCTCTCGTTTGGCCATATCAGCAGCACTCACACCCTCGGCAGCCTTCGTCCCAGCGCGGATCACTGCAGAAAGAAGGAAAAAGGCCAAGATGTCACCAAGGGAATGTTCACTGAGTAACAGGAAGAATGTGACTTGAATGATGCAAACTCTCTGATCAGGGCCCTGAGGACTGTGTTGGCCAGTTAGTTAGGTCCAAAAATAGCTGCAGGGCCAAGTGCTAGACTCAGACGTGCTCTAAAGACAACCTCTGAACATTGTGTGATTTTATTTCTTCCTGCCTGAAAAACAGCATCAGACTCATGCCACAAACTCAATGGTATGGAAGAAGTTCTGAGAGTGGCTATAATCCAGGTGTCTGGAACACAGATGTTCCAAAACATGCCCGGAAACAGCTGCTCCTCATGCACTTCAGCCAGTCCCTCAACCATCAGAGGCCACCATAGAGAAGAGCTACGGACTCAAGGCCTTCACACCAGAAGCCGACGGCCTAATATCAACAGTTGCTACTATGCATCTACACGGGGTAGGCTGATAAACACCGGGAACGCTACAACTGTTTAAGTTTGTAACTTAAAGCGAATTTTAATTATTTTCAATAAGAAAAAGGTAGGAAGTAAACATTTAAAATCTATCAATAATCCAAAAAAGTAATTTCAGTTTTATTTCTCAACATCTTTTAAAGAAAAAAAACTCTTAAGAAATGAAGACGAAAAGGAGGTAATTTCAGTTTTTCCCCTTTGTGCTTCTAATGCTATAATGGAAATATATAAAGCAACCAGACAGAAGAGAGAACAGGACTCATCAGTCTGCAAACCGAATAAAGGGCCCTAAGGAAGCCACGCCTACTGAAGTGGAATAGCCATGGAACACTGCAAAGGAGGAATTTTACTTTTTATTGGAAACACATCTCAAAATAGAATTGCTGGCTCACTCATGTGCCAAGGACAGCTACTTAGATGCCTGGTTCCTATCTCTTCCACTACTCACAGCCTTCTCGGGCCAGATAGAGGTTCCGGGTTCCAGTTGGCTTCTTCACCTTCTTTGTCTGGAGCTTTGCTGCCTCATCACGGGTCACAGCCAAGTCAATCTTGAGCAGCCGGCCATCCAGTTTAAGCCCACCACCCTGAAACATATTGTAACCTTCTCTTCAAATCTTAGCAAGCAGAAAGCACAAAACAGGAGCATCAAGGAAAGAGAATCAGCACACTGTAATCGTGCAGTGAAAGCCAGGCCACAGGACGCAGCTGTCTGGTGGCTACATGTGGACCTTAAGCCTCACACTAGTTTTTTTTTTTTTTAAATTTATTAAAGATTTCTGTCTCTTCCCCACCGCTGCCTCCCCTTTCCCTCCCCCTCCCCCAATCAAGTCCCCCTCACTTGTCAGCCCAAAGAGCAATCCGGGTTCTCTGCCCTGTGGGAAGTCCAAGGACCACCCTCCTCCATCCAGGTCTCGTAAGGTGAGCATCCAAACTGCCTAGGCTCCCACAAAGCCAATACGTGCAGTAGGCTCAAAAACCCATTGCCATTGTTCTTGAGGTCTCAGTAGCCCTCATTGTCCGCTATGTTCAGTGAGACCTGTTTTAACCCAGGCTTTTTCAGACCCAGGCCAGCTGGCCTTGGTGAGTTCCCCATAGAACATCCCCATTGTCTCAGTGTGTGGGTGCACCCCTCGCGGTCCTGAGTTCCTTGCTCGTGCTCGCTCTCCTTCTGCTCCTGATTTGGACCTTGAGATTTCAGTCCGGTGCTCCAATGTGGGTCTCTGTCTCTGTCTCCTTTCATCGCCTGATGAAGGTTAATATTCAGGCAGATGCCTATATATTTTTCTTTGGGTGCCTCACACTAGTTTTTACAAGTGTACAAAATGTAACATGTGTGTGTACTTAAGACAATCAGCTGTAAGGAATGTACTTTAGTTCTAAAGCAGGCCTAGACTGAGGAAAATGTTCTATAGACAGATGTTTAGTATTCTAAAGCTAGTAAAACAAGAGTATTTAAGAGACAATAATAATACAGGAAAAAAAATCTCAAAAACTAAATACTTCATTTAAAAAGCATAGAAAAATTCTTAGTACCTACACTTTGTCTATCAAATGTGCATTAGTGTCCCAGAAGGCATTAATACCTTCTTTCAGTCTTTCATGTCAATAGCCTAGACTAGAGGTTGATACATAAACAGCAATGAATACTACAGATACCAAACCTGTTTCCTCACTTAAGAAATATGGGTAATTTCACTCATTTCAATGGATAAAGAATTAAGGCAGCACATACAAAGCTCAGTGCTAAATACACACTAAGTGCTCAAGTCTTCATTTTATTAATAATAATAAAACTTGGTGCAAGGGTGAGATCTTCTAGGCATAGGGAAGAACATACTCTCCTTACCTCGGCCTCTGGAGAGGCAGCTGCAAGGCATTTCTGAGCTGCTTCCTGAGACATGAATTGTGCGAATGCACAGCCTGCACCAAGACAAGATTCAGTCAGACATTCCTGGCTTCCACAGCGAGCAAGGACAACACTCAAAGTATCCACAGCCTGGCACAAATGGAAGGGCTAAGCAGCGTCTATGGGGCAGGAACTATGTCAAGTGGAACAGGATCACAGCTACACACCATAGCATACACACCTTATTCTTAGCGTTTGGTCTCATCAACTACCTCCTTAATGATACCCACATGAAATGACAGAGGACTCTAGCTGACCACTTGATTCAACATCACAGAGTCCCTAGTAGTAGTGTGAGAGATGAGGCAGAACTATTTAACCTTGAAATTACATCTCATGGTCTTAGAATCACCTAGGAGGCATCAAATAACACCAGATATGCCTGTTGGGGTTAAAAAAAAAAAGGCTTCTATTATATGAATATCACAGGAAAACAGCCATGAGCTCAATCGTTGGCTTCTGCTCTAGAATCTTTATAAAGCATGCCTTTCACTGGTTAGATGCAGGGCCAGTTATCTAAATGAAATTCTACTGTGGATTAAAAGAAACTCTGCACAAGTTCACCTCACAGTAAATTTCAAAACACATGTTTCATAATACATTGCTAGTATACTTCAAAAGAGAATTCTCTCATATGACAACACTACATGTCTCCCAGAGCTAGGGCATTATCTTCTGCCCTGTGCCGGAATGATTCTAGGCAGATTAATCTAAAACACACATACAATAGGTTAACCCAAGGGCCACCATCTAGAGAGGTAAGTGTTCTACTTCTGGGTTCCCAACACTTCCCACCCTCTATTCACATCCTTTAGGCACTGATGAGGTAGCATCTTCTCCAAAATGAGAACTTCAGGAATCTGGACTACTCTCTACAGCACAGCACACTAACAATATAGTCAAAAGAAACAAACACAGTTCAAGCTCAGAACCCATGGGCTATGCATTAGTGAAGTCAGCCGTGCACAGAACAAGAACACTCGGGAGGAAACTGTCTATACGGAACACAGATGGACTTACATTCTCTACAAACAACCTAACAAAAACTTATTTTCTTGGGGGTATGTGTATATTGACACATTGTCTAACAGCATCTCTTGACGCCAAGGAGAACGAGTGTTTTCCAGGCCTTGCCCTCGATGGAGTCAGCATGCCTGAGGTCATCTAAGACTCTGCACCTACCCCCCTCTCCTACTGTGCACTCAGCCTCTGTGAGCTTAACCACCCTGAAGAAAACAGGCAACAAACTTTCCTATGCCTTGGATTTCCTACACACACAGGTGTTACAACCTAAGCTAGATGTACAGCTTTAATCCTAAATTACGTTTTCTTCCATAGCCCCGCCCAGAACAGTGTCTGTATGCACTATACTAAGCCTTGCTGGAAACAGCCAACAGGCTGGAAGCAACCGGCAACAACAACTAGGTCACAAAGCGAGAATACCGATGTAGATGTAGGCCGATAACATCTGCTGCAGCTGTCGCTACACTGGGTCAGCTGGAAGGAATAGTTACTTTTTCCCTGTCAAGAATTTCAGTAAGAATCCCCCACTTCTTCCCCAGGCCGTGTTTTCTGTGCTGTTCAAAAAGTACAAGGCGAAATCCTTTATTAGGAATAGCCGCAAACACAGGAGAAGTACAGAATTCATACTGGGCTTATTCTTGACCAAACTAATCCAAAAGGAAGTTGCTTTATCTTCATCCCTTAATGCATGTATGTGACCTACAGAGTAAAGCATATGGGAAGAGCCAGGCTGTGATGGCACATGACTTTAATCCCAACATTTGGGAAGCAGAGACAGGCAAGCTCTGTGAGTTCAAGTCCAGCCTGGTCTATAAATCAAGTTCCAGGACAGTCATGCCTGTTACAGAGAAATTGTCTTGAAAAACAAAAACCAAACAAAAAGTAAAAGGAAAGAAGTACATAGGCTATGATGTGCAAACACTTGCCATTTTATATCAAGAACTTGAAAACTCGCAAATGTTGGTATTTGCCATGGTCCTAGAATGGGTAATGGAGGACAAGTGTGATGAAAGTAATACAAGGTGGAATAAAATAAATAAATAAAAATAAAAAAGAAAGTAATACAAGATAGAAGATATAAAGATTTCTAATTTGCAAATTAGCCTAGTCATCCTATATCAAGAAAATCAGGTTAGGTGTGGTGGCGTACACTTTTAATCCCAGCAGTCAGGAAGTAAAGGGAAGCAGATCTCTGTGAGTTCCAGGCCAACCTGGTCTACATAGTGAGATCATGTCTCATAAAAAAATGAAAGAAAGTCAAAAGTATAAGTATTGTTTCTCCCTTAAAGGGTAAGAATTTAATTACTGGATCAGTACTGGGGTTCAGTCTTTGATGGCCCTAAAGTCACCACATGTGGCTCTCCTGGGTAGTAAAATGCCTTGCCAAGAGAAACAAACTGTCAAGAGGAGCATAGAAAAGGTGTCAACACTAGCAAATTAGAGCCAGTAAATGACAATACAGTAAAATATTAAAATTATTGCTGGATGGTGATAGCCCATGCCAATTTAATCCCAGCACTTGGGAGGCAAATGGATCTCCAAGTACAAGCCCAGAGTGAATTCCAGGACAGCCAGGGCTATTCAGGTGTGTGTGTGTGTGTGTGTGTGTGTGTGTGTGTGTGTGTGTGTGCATGTGTTAAATTATGCTTTTAAAATCAGCATAAGATTAATAGATTAAGCCGGGCGGTGGTGGCGCACGCCTTTAATCCCAGTACTTGGGAGGCTGAGGCAGGCGGATCTCTGTGAGTTCGAGACTAGCCTGGTCTACAAGAGCTAGTTCCCAGGACAGGCTCCAAAACTGCAGAGAAACTCTGTCTCGAAAAACCAAAAAAAAAAAAAAAAAAAGACCAGAAAAGATATTAAATAGCCTGCTACACTCAAAACAAGATAGAAGTAAAACAGTATCATGCCTGTACTATGAACATGTTAAGAAACTCTAGAAAAACGGAGAAAGGTCCAGGGGTGACTGTTAGAGCTGAAGACATTTATTACTTGTGTCGTTTTTCAGGTGAAAACTTAGCTCATGGTGATGAAAGAACCTGCCATGTGACTAAGGAGAGTTTCTTTCCTAGTCTCCAGGAAGCCTTAAACTATTTTAACTGAGTGAAAGTAAAAACTAATCAAGTCTTATCTGACTGATTCTTACCAGTTGAAAAATAAGGTTTAGAATGGAAGTTTGTAACCATGAATAAACTCTTGAGAGCCCGCAAACCCTCAGAAACAGCATTCTTCTGAAGAGAGGTTTACGGCATTTGCTGGAGCACAAAGGAATCAAGAACCCAAACAATTAACTCAACACTTATTCATCTTTCATATCAGCCTGACTGGATACAAAATCACCTAGGAGGCTGAAGACATACCCTTTGGGTGTTTTTAAGGATGTTTTTAAAAAGACTGAGAGGAAAGATCCTCCCTGAAAGTCGGTGGCATTTAAAGGTCTAGGAGCAGAGTAAATTCAACCTCACCCTTTCTCTGCTTCCTGGCCCACAATGGAAGAGCTGAGCTATTCTGCCATGTCCACACCATAACAGACTGAATTCTCTGAAGCAAAGCAAAATAAATCCTTTTTTTTTTTTTTTTTTTTTTTTTTNCTGTATGCAGGCCTAGAGAGGTCATTGTGTGAAGCTGTGAAGTTGAAGCCTGGATTACCTTGGAGACCCCAAGGTTCCAGAGATGCCAGAGTCGTGGGTTACCTGCCAAGGAAAGCTGCTAACAGGGAGTGGAGCCCGCCCACCAGAGAGAAGTATGTCATAGTCAACAGAGCTGAATAGAGTTGGAGATCTATTACTGTTTTTTTTTTTTTTACTTTATTTATTTGGGGGAGGAGTGCATCCCCAGATCCCAAATAAATCACACAGAGGCTTATTCTTATTTATAAATGCCCATCATTTAGTGTAGCTTGTTTCTCACCAGCTTTTCTTAAATTATCTAGTCTATCTTGTGCCTCTGGATTTTTACCTTATATTTTTGTATTTCTCTCTTTACTTCTTACTCACGGCTTGCTATGTAGCTGGGTGACTGGCCCCTAGAGTCCTTCTCTCCTCCTATTTCTTGCTCCCCAATCTTCTCCTCCCAGATTTCTCTTCTATTTAGTTTTTCTGCCTGCCAGCCCTCCTATCCTTTCTCCTGGCTTGCTATTGGCCATTCTGCTCTTTATTCAACCAATCAGGTGTTTTAGATAGGGAAGCACAGCTTCACAGAGTTAAACAAATATAACATAAAAGAATGCAACACATTTTTTCATCACTCAACAAATATCCCAGAGCATAAAAAAATGTAAGACATCTTAAAATAATATTCCACAACAGAGATCCGAAGAGTATTTTGAAAGCTAACATGGAAGAGATGCAGTTTGGAGTTTGCCCAGCTGGTTTTCGGTCTTGCTTTGATCCAGTATTTTCTTGCTATGTTCCCTTCCCTTCATTTGGGAATGGTAATGTGTGCCATTTATATGTTGGGAGTATGTGATCTGTTCCTTGATTTTTATTTTATAGGGGACTACAGTTAAGAGACTGCATGAAGAGACTTTGAACTTTGGACTTTTAGGCATTGTTGAGACTGTTATAGACTATGGGGACTTTTGAAGTTGGATTAAATACATTTTGCATTATGGTATTGTTACAAACTCATGAGTGCCAGGGAGTGGAATGTGGTAATTTGAATATAATTGGTCCCCATAATCTCATGGGGAGTGGCACTGTTAGGAAGTGTGGCCTTGTTGGAGGAAGTGAGTCACTGTGGAGGTGGGTTTTGAGGTCTCATTTGCTTAAGCTTCCCTCAGTATCACAAACTGTTTCCTGTTGTCTTCTGACCAAGATGTAGCCAGCACTGTGTCTGCCTGCATGTGGCCATACTCCCCGCCATGATGATAAGGGACTGAACCTCTGAACTGTAAAGCAGCCTCAATTAAATGTTTTCCTTTATAAGAATTGCTGTGATCGTGGTGTCTCTTTAAAGCAACAGAAACCCTAACGAAAGCAGTGACCCCTTTTCACCCCTAAATCATGGTAGATCAAATCTTCCTTTTGGGGTATTTCTTCCCACAATCCTCTAGAAAACCCCGCAAGGGGGAGCTGGAGAGATGG